AAAAAAAATTATTTAGTATTGGTGGAGAGTTAGACAAATACATAATGAGAGAGGGAGCTTAAAACAAATTATGGACCATAAATGGAAAACTTGATTCATGCAGATCACTGGTGCTAGGAAAACTGATTATCCATATGGAATAAACAACATAAAAATCAATTTCCAGATGGGTTAAGACTAATTGTAAAGTACAAAACCATAAAAGCTTTTAGAAAACAATATAGTAAAATTAATTTATAATCTTGAGGAAATAATTCTCAAACAAGACAAACTATAAAAGAAAGTACTGGTAACTTGAAATCAAAATTCAAAACTTACGTTCATTGATAGAGACAGAGAAAGAAAACCTCAAAAGCAAATTGGAAGCAGATATTTGTGGTACATATGGTTAACAAGGAATTGATTAGTGACCAGATTACATAAAGAAAGCACTCCAATGAGTCAGTAAGAAAAAAGTAAGCAACCCAATATGAAAATGAATAAAAGCAGGAATCAGAATTTCACAGAGAGAAAGCACAATATCTGATCATTTGTTATGGGGAAATGCTAGTTAAAATCACAGTGGAATGCTATTTGATAACTGCCAGATTGACTAAAAATGAAATTTGACAAGACCAAATTATGACAAGTATGTGGAGCAACAAGAACTCTCATCCATTGCTGGAGGGAGTGCAAACTGATTTAACTCTTTGGAAACAGCTTGAAAATGACCTAATAAAGTCAAATATATATAAATTTTATAGCTTAGCAATTCTACTCGTCGCTGTACACTCTAGGGAAACTCCTGCACACGTACGTGTAGTTGAATGGTAGAGGACATTATTCATTAATATTCCTTGTAGTAGGGCAACCTTTAAAATGGCCCTTAATAATTCCTGTTTCCAGGTATTCATGCCCTTGTGTAAACCCCTTCCCTTGAGTGTGGGCTGGACCCAGGGACTCACTTCTAATGAACAGATGGAAAAAATGATGGGATGTCACTTTTGCAATTAGGTTACAAAAAGAATCTGGTTTCTGGCTTTCTCTCTGGAGCCTTCAATCTGGGGAAAGCAAGCTGCCATGTTGTGACCAGCCTCTCTATAAGAGGCCCACGTGCAAAGAACTGATGTGTCCAGCCAGAGTGGTGAGGCCAAAAGACCAGCCAGCAGTCATGTGAGTAAGCTTGAAAGGGGTCCCGACCCCTACTCCCGGCCTCCAGATGACTGTGGCCCCAGCCAATACCTTGATTCCTTGATTCCAGCCTGTGAGAAACCCTGAATGAGACTCCCCACCTAAGACCTTCCTGTATTCCTGATCCAGAAACTGTAAGATAGGAGATGGTAGGATTTATTCTGTTCCATTTGGGTTTTTTTGTTTGTTTGTTTTAAGCTGCTAAGTATTAGAGTAATTTGTTACACAGCGGTAGATAATTAATGTATCTCCCAAACTACAAGCAACCCGAATGTCCATCAGCAGTGGCATGGACAAATTATAGTGCATTTATACCACAAACAATGAAGGTAAAGGAAGCATCAGCAAGGGTGAATCTGAAAACCTTCAGAGTTTGTACAGGATAATGTCATTGGTATGAAAGCAAAAACTTGAAAAAGCCAACACATATGTATGTTTTTGGAATAGCCACACAAATGTGGTAAAACTATAAAGAAAACAAAGGTAATATTTAAAACAAAAATCATGACTCGTATCACGCCTCAGGGAGGAGAACGGGCATAAGCTCGGACTCGCAGGCTCCTGAGGTACTGCAAAACCTGATTTCTTGCCCCACGAGATGGTTCAGGCATTCATTTCATTATTGTTTAGACTGTTCTTAGGTGTTTTATATGCTTTTTATTCAGAAATCTTCTAACAACAAAAGCAAAGCAAAAAGAAAGCCAAGTACTGAAACGCAATCAATCGACAAATCGAGAGTTCGGAGTATGACGGGATGGACAGATGGCTGGCTGGTCGGCTAGACAAATACATCTGTCCTTTGTATCTAGTTAGAGCTGCACTTCTTCCAAGTTTTCAGGAGGATCCAACTGGCAAAGATCGTTTTCTCCTACGCTCCCTTAAGGCCTCTCCCTCTCTAGCAGGTTGGGCCAAGGCAGTGGCCAGCTCGGGGATGTTTAACTGGGAACCAATAATCCTGCGCTGGCAGCCTCAGGCCAGACGCATTCCAGACCTCATCCTCCCAGCCCTGGCACCCACTGTCGCCCGCGCCCCTGCCCGGCCCCTCCCCCACCTCAAACGCGCAGGGCCGGGGCGCGCAACGCACCGACTGGGGTAGAGGAGGACTTTCGCTTCGGGGTTAACCAGAGACGAGGTACCCTAAAAGAATTCAGTATCGAGCCCCCAGCAGATGAGGTAACATGGTCTCCACGGTTCCCGTGAACTTAGTTCTCAATGGCTCCCCGCGGAGCACAAAACAAATAACAGGAAAAAGGGGGTCATCCACCTCCCGACAGGGAGGGCGATAACAATGCGGCAAGAAGGGAAGAGACCCAGCCAGCCGCAGAGAGAGACCAGAAAACGGACAGAAGCAAAGACTCCTCTGTAGAACGCCTCTGTCACCGTCCAGCACGCGCAGAGGGCCCAAACCCATCCTCACCCCTCCCGGGAACCCACCATCGCGCCCCGTCTCCCCGCCCCGAAGCTGTCCGCGGGCTGTGGCCTTTGTCGCCGCGGCCCCTCCCGGCCGGCGCCCGGGCTACACCTCGCTCACCGTTTGCCCCGCTCTTCCCTGCGGCGCGGGTTCGGGGCAGAAAGGACCTGCTGGGAGCGGGCAGCGGTGCTTCCCAGGAGCAAGGAGCTTCTCCACGGAGAAGGGACTGGGCGGCGGATGCGACGCTGGGGGACGTGGAAAGTCGCGGCGGAGGAGGGGCGCGGGGGCGCCGTCCCGGGAGCGGATTGGCCGCCGCGGGGAGGGGGCGGGGCTTGGTCGGCCACCCGCAGACCGCAGAGGCCCTGCTGTGTGTCAGTTTCTGGCCCAAGATGCGCCCCAAATCCGGGATGGAGACAATACAGTGGAGCAATTCGTTAAAAAAAAAAAAAACCCAAACAAAAAAACCCTTGAGCCTGTTTATGAACCAGTGGAGGGTTGATAAATAACGATAGATCTTTATGTAAGGTATGAATTATATCTATGGGTCCTAGACATAGTTTTAATTAAAAAGTCAAGTTGTGTTAAAATGGAGTGTATGGTTAAGAAGACATTCTGCATGTTTTATATAAGCGGCGGGGCTAGAGTGAAGAAGTTGGCTGTTGGTTCTTATCTTCACAATTACTGAATTGTTTTAAAATGTCACATGCATTGTTTTTGTAAGTAAGATGTTAAAAATTTTACTAACCAATAAATAAATGGCAGATATTGGGTATCAGGGAGAGAGAGAAAGGTGTAGCTGTTAAAAAGGTTAGACTTTGAAGCCACCACATCCTCTACTTACAAGCTGGATAGTGTCTTAGTTTGCTATGGCTGCCGTAACAAATCACCACACGTTTAGTGCCTGAAAACGACACAAAATTTATTATCTTCCAGTTCTGTAGCTCAGAAGTCTGGAACAGGTCTCACTGAACTATCACCAAGTGTAGGCAGGGCTGTGTTCTTTCTGAAGGATCTAGGAGCCAATCCATTTTCCTTGCCTTTTCCAGCTTCCGGAATGCCCTCCCCCGCCCCCCACCCCCAAATTCCCTGGCTTGTGGCTTTTTCCTCCATATTCAAGGCCGTCAACCTGATGGCTCTGGCTTCTGTTTCTATTGTCACCACTTCTTCTCTGAGTCTCCTGCCCTCACCTTTCACTTAGAAGGACCCTTGCGATTACATGGGGCCTATCCAGATGATCTCTCACCTCGAGATCACCTGATTAAGCAGCCTTAATTCTATCTGCAACCTTAATTCTCCATTGCCATGGAACACTGTATATTCACAGTTCTGGGAATCAGGATGTGGACATCTTTAGGGGGCCATTTTTCTGCCTATGGTAGAGGGTTCATTAACTTCTATCTCAGTGTCCTCCTCTGTTACTCTGGGGATAGTGATCATGTCTACAGGATTGCTATGAGGGATAAATGAGTTAATGCAGATAAAGTACTTAAAGCAGCATCTGACACGTGCCAAACCCTGTGTGAATGTTTGCCATGACCATAGAGATAAATAGATCCTTCCAGACCTTTTCCACGTGCCGAATCACACAATTGCCAGTGAACTCACTCTAGTATAAATAAGATCTTCTCCCTGTGCTGTGGGTCCCTTCACCTCTGCTGCTGGTTCTCTCCTCCCTGCAGCACCTTTCTCAAAAGCAAACCCTTCTACTCCCCTTCTGAGCCAGTTTGACCTGTTTTCCCTTTATGCCCCAGATCTAACAGGCCTCCCTCCATTCTAAATCCTGCTTCCCTTTAATGCTCATTTCACTTAGGTCTTTCTGTTCATCTTCTCTCTTCTGTATTATTCATCTTCATCCCTCAGATAATTTAGTTCCTTTCGGGTAGTAAGCTTAGTGAGTAGAAGATTTTGTCAGCTGATCACTTGCCTTGTCCTCTGACTGCACTTCCTAGCAGTGAGAGGACAACTTTTCAGTGAAAAGTTGCTGCTCTTCAGAGTTGTAACACGCACAGTAATGTTTAAGAAAGGTCATCCTAAGCTCCCAGAGGCTGTCAGTACTAAGCTTGGGGTTTGGTGGGGCACCCCTCTCTCCTCCTTTCCTCCCAGGCTCAGAACCAGGCCACAACATGCAAGTCAGAGGAAAAGTGAAGGGGAATGGAGGAGCAGAGGAGCATGGGGGCGGCCAGTGGGGAAAGGAGGGGAACAGAATGGAAAAGCCTGGCCCAGGTCCAGATGGTCTGTACTGCTTGCTGGGTGGAGGAGCTTCCTTCACTGCACTGTCCCTGAGTCCTTCCAGCCCCTGAAACACACACACACACACACACACACACACACACACACACACATATACAAAACAAACATGATGCACCCAGAGGACTCGCCAGTGACCTCAACCTCAGGATTTTGTACTCCAAAAGCACTGGCATCTGAATTTCAAGGTCATGCTCCATCTCTACCTGTGTGAATCCCTTCTGCTGCCTGCATTTCAGTGTTCTTTTTTTTTTCAATATAAAGGAGGAGATTGGATGAGATGTTTTAGATATGAAACTCTGTGGTCAATAGCACAGGAAAAACAGCAGCAACTAAAAATGGTGGATTTGGCCTGTGTGTTTGGAGAGAGAGTGGGGGTGGGCAGGCTTATGTCCTGTTGACTGTCAGATTCTGAGAGGAGGAGGGACCTGGCAAGAGGGAAATGCAGCTGTCTTGGCAGAGAGAATGTGAAATGAGAGAATGAGAAAGAGAGACAGCTCAACCTCAAGGAACCCTGGCCTTGCAGAAACATTCAGTCTACAATCCCCAAACACCCACTTGCCTCCACCTGAACCCCCAGACACCCCATTCCACTGCAAAAACACCCAGATGCTGGCTTTTCCTCTCATCATAATCAGAAACTACCCCTCTGTGCTGGTAGCTGGGTGTGTTCACTTCTAGAAACCTCCCATGTCTGCCCTCTAATCTCAGGCCAGGCATGGCAGGGTAGTTCTGAGGGAGATTAGACTTTCAGGGAGGTGAGAGAGCACACAGTTTGGAGATTTAAAAACTAAAGGAGCAAGGGAGAAGGGAGTCATAGTGTCCCTCTGATCCCCTCCTACCATGCTAGATTGGGATGCCAAGGGGTTTGGTGACCTGAAATGCACTTCCTGGAATGCTACTATGACAAGGGGCTGGGGTGGGGGGAGGAGGGGGAGAGAGAGAGAGAGAGAGAGAGAGAGAGAGAGAGATCAGAACACCTTTCTGATTCCCTTCCTCCGGACTTGATTGGTAGCTAGAAAGGGTGAGTAGAGAGGGTTGGTGCTGAATTCCAGAACCAGCCCTTGGTGACTTGGTCTGCAGATCTCTCTCAGCTTTATGAAATTTATAGTCTTGTCTATAGGTTAGGAAACCTAAACCTGGATCCACTCTTGAAAATATGGCAAGGTAATTTTTCTGGATATGTAGTAAATTTTGTAGTGCTTTGCATTTTCCATCCTTTCCCCGACCTCTCAGTCAGGTAGCTAGGATTTGTAATTCTTCACCTCAGGTACTTTGCCAGTGCAGAAAGCCAAGAGTCAGGACGACTTCATGGGTGTGTGACCACTGCAGTTGAACAAGGCCTCACGCTCAGAAGGGCCCAGTGCTCAGAAGAGACCCACCCTTGGTTTAATGCTTTGCTGTTGCCATCTTGAAACTCTTTGTAAGTTTTTAATAAGAGGCCCCACATTTTCATCTTGCACCAGGCCCCCTTGTAGCCAGTCCTACAAGGCATCTTGAAAGAGTCAGTCCTCAGAAAAAGCCTGAGCCACTGAAAAGGTGTTTAAAGGTGCTTAGACAGTGAGGTGAGAGTGAGAGAACCTGGAAAAACCAGCAAAGCCAAGAGGAGAGAATGCAGAGACAAGGAGTAGGGTCCGCACACCCCAGGACAGTGATGACGGGCTGACCTATGCATGCCTTGTCATTGTACCCCAAAAAGCTGGCCAGACTCCAGAGGGGATAGCTGGGACTCTGGCAATGACTCTGGCAGAATTTTCTGTTAACTCAGTGGGATAGGATCTCACTGTCAGAATTCAGTTGACTTAATAAAAACAAAGAAAATCATTTGTTTTACATATATGATATTTTCCACTGAGAAGGATATATGCCACATGAGCAAACAGAAAGATTTTTCCAAATTCACCTATAATAGAGGTCACGAGCCAGCAGCCCAGTCTAGGCTTCGTCTCCAGAGATGTGTTTCGGGAGCCTGGGTAGCAGTTTGAATCTTTTTATTAATTTCCAACATTAGAGAGATCAGGAGATTTTGCCTAAGGATCCAGACTCCCGGCTTCTCTTGAATAATTTGAAAATTGAGTGTCAAAGAGCCTGCGTTACATGGCACAGCAAGCTCTGGCTCCCTGCAGAAGAGTGCTTTGTTGGCTACACTGTCCCCGACTCCCATCATCCTGCACCAGGCCCACTTTGCTTGTTTACATTATTGCCTGACCTCTGTAAGCCCTGGGATTTGCAATCATGTCCTACATGTTTCCCAACCATCCCTTTCACTGCATAGCATTCCTGGGGGTGGGGAGGATAAAGCGAAATTCCTGCAGTGTCGCAATTTGAGTTGGGAAAGTGAACACAGAGTCATAAGGAGACCTGATAGGCCTTGAATTCGATAAGGAAACTGAAGAATTGCTCAGGTAAGTGGCTGTCCACACATGAACATTTCAAATATTCTTACATATGGTGTACTAGGGTTTTTCTATGTGGTTGGGGTATATCCATCTCTCAAGGCACTGTACTCTTGAACTGGGGAAACTGTGAGTACTGCTGTTTTCTTTGGTCTCTGCGAAGCCACAGGTGAAGATAAGAAGAGGTTTCTACACTTGAAGGACTTTGTTCAGACTTTTCCTGGAGTTACTCATCATCTCAGTTCACTATCTCAAGATTGGACGATGTCAGCGAGAATTCTTAGTGTTTTATAAACTCACTTCTTTCCTTAGCACAATTTCTCAGGGTATGGAGGGGCCATTGGCAGAAAGAGTTGGGGATAGTATTTAAACATCATTCCAAGATGAACCAGACTCTTATTTGTCACAGAAGCAGAATTTGGAACCAAATAGCCTGGCTTCAAATACGCATTCTCACATAAGACGTAGTTTGAAGAGAGTCTACAACACCTAGCAAGTGCTTGGGAAATGCTGTGTATTTCTTATTAAGATATATTCACTTTTAGAAGTTTATGGAATAAGGTTGTGTTCCATTCCTACTTTGCTGTATGCTATGACATGTTTTTTATGCTCTGAAAACTTTCT